TATGGTTGTTACAAAGTTTACAAAGGGAAACAATCCCAGACTTGCATTCATTGTATTTACTTGCCTAATATTTTGAAAATGTGATCAACTTAATAAAAAAAAAATCAGGAGTTCTTGCAGAGGTAGGAAATATCTTTCTCACAATTCATTGCTTTAAACTTGGTGAATGATACAAGCTCTTTTGGCCTCTTGTCGTTTGAGGTGTTAATAGACACTATCTCTGTTAGAACGGTTTGTGGGTACAACATTTAATGTCAGGATACTTGCCTTCTCTGAGATGATCTTTGGCTGAGGTTGATTAGTACAGGGACATGATGTTTATAGACACTATCTCTGTTGGAACGGTTTGTGGGGACAACATTTAATGTTAAGATACTTGCCTTCTCTGAGATGATCTTAGACTGAGACAACATTTAATGTCAGGATACTTGCCTTCACTGATATGATCTTAGTCTTAGGTTGATTAGTACAGGGACCTGTTAGCTAGAATGATTGGATCCTCTCTGTTTCCAAGCTGTTTCTGGTAGAGTCCAGAGACACAGAAAGCGTAATGCTCAGATACCCTTGTCTTGTAATCAAGTGAACCATTTCTTAACGGTCTTGGGACATGTGTGGTTTGGTAAATGATGGTACACATGTGCGTAGGCATGTCAAATTGTTTCCACATTTATCCATGTTAAGCTTACTGAATAGAACCAGTGGCTGCAGTGTTCAGTAAAGAAAACATCTGTTGCCGGTAAAATAATAGCTTAATTAAAATAATTAGATGATCTAGCTCTTGTTGCTGTATGAAAGGCACTGAGAAAGCCGACACCAAAACACTAATGATTCCATTGTATTTTGATGTGGTAGAATAGACATAGTCAACATGTGTATGTATGTTGTGGTGGCAAATATAACTAAAGATTTGAAAACAGTTGAAAGTATTTTGTCAGGCCAAAGCAGCTTTTGTAAATTAATTATTTTTGTTTTGTTTGTCTCATCCTCGTTATATAATCCACCATATCCATGAACAATTGTGTTATTAATTTCTGAATTACACAAGGCCTATACACACTACTGATTAATCTAGAACTGTTATAATTCGGTTCTTGGTAAAAAGATTGGATTCTCTTGCCGGTAAACTTATCCAATAGAGGATTAGGGTGTAATGTGTGGTGATAGATGTCGGGGCCCCGGCCAGCAGGCAGTAGGTCGACAGTAAAGACTAATGACCAGCTGCCTCATAACGCCGAGCCGTCCACAAAGGTCAATTGGATTACCGACAAATACAGGTAGTAATATCCCCACCACGAAACACAGCAATATTCAAATTCACAACTGTTAGATTTGATTATTGTAATTTTCTGGCTCAGACAAATGATTTCATCTCCCTAGTGCAGAGGTTTGGCGATTCACACTCACGTGTTGGCTATGATGTGTAAGATTTTTCTGCTTTTTGACAGTTTTTATTTTTTATTCAGATGGGACTCAGTATTTGGATAGCGAGATATTGATCCTCACTGCTAATTTCCCACGATTCCAAGCATGGCATGTATGTGATTGAATTACAATCGTGTTTTGACAGTCTCATTGATAATAATAGCCAGTATTATTTTAACTTGAATTGTTTTTATTTCACAATTGAATGTAATTTGAATGCATTAATTGAAAGTGAAATAAATATTAAAAGGACCTGTATAAAATTTCCAGTGAAGATGATGACACAGCATGGAAAAGATTTGACAATGTTTCAATGCTTTGTTTGAATAATAGATTGTTTTCAGTAAATTACATCAGACGTACCAAGATTTAAGTCTCGAAAATAACTGTTTCCATTGAGACATTTCTCAAAAAATACAACTGATGATGAGTTTGGTGTGTTTGTTGTACAGTTGAGTGGTGGTAAGAACAGTCCACTACCAGGAATACAGGACAAGCTGAACCGCGGCCTGGGCGACCAGTGTGGAAAGTTGTTGATAGATGGAGAGTCTGTTTATGCTGGTACAGCAAAGAACCTCTGTAGATCTCCCATTGAAGGTACACACTAATACTGTTCTGTAGATCTCCCATTGAAGGTTATTACACAACACACTAATCCTGTACTGTGGATCTCCCATTGAAGGTACACACTAATACTGTTCTGTGGATCTCCCAGTGAAGGTACACACTAATCCTGTACTGTAGATCTCCCGTTGAAGGTACTCACTGATACCATTCTGTAGATCTCCCGTTGAAGGTACAAACTAATACTGTACTGTAGATCTCCCGTTGAAGGTACACACTAATACTGTACTGTAGATCTCCCAGTGAAGGTACTCACTGATACCATTCTGTAGATCTCCCGTTGAAGGTACACACTAATACTGTACTGTAGATCTCCCATTGAAGGTACACACTAATACTGTTCTGTAGATCTCCCATTGAAGGTACACACTAATACTGTACTGTAGATCTCCCATTGAAGGTACACACTAATACTGTACTGTAGATCTCCCATTGAAGGTACACACTAATACTGTACTGTAGATCTCCCATTGAAGGTACACACTAATACTGTACTGTAGATCTCCCATTGAAGGTACACACTAATACTGTACTGTAGATCTCCCATTGAAGGTACACACTAATACTGTACTGTAGATCTCCCATTGAAGGTACACACTAATACTGTACTGTAGATCTCCCATTGAAGGTACACACTAATACTGTACTGTAGATCTCCCATTGAAGGTACACACTAATACTGTACTGTAGATCTCCCATTGAAGGTACACACTAATACTGTACTGTAGATCTCCCATTGAAGGTACACACTAATACTGTACTGTAGATCTCCCATTGAAGGTACACACTAATACTGTACTGTAGATCTCCCATTGAAGGTACACACTAATACTGTACTGTAGATCTCCCATTGAAGGTACACACTAATACTGTACTGTAGATCTCCCATTGAAGGTACACACTAATACTGTACTGTAGATCTCCCATTGAAGGTACACACTAATACTGTACTGTAGATCTCCCATTGAAGGTACACACTAATACTGTACTGTAGATCTCCCATTGAAGGTACACACTAATACTGTACTGTAGATCTCCCATTGAAGGTACACACTAATACTGTACTGTAGATCTCCCATTGAAGGTACACACTAATACTGTACTGTAGATCTCCCATTGAAGGTACACACTAATACTGTACTGTAGATCTCCCATTGAAGGTACACACTAATACTGTACTGTAGATCTCCCATTGAAGGTACACACTAATACTGTACTGTAGATCTCCCATTGAAGGTACACACTAATACTGTACTGTAGATCTCCCATTGAAGGTACACACTAATACTGTACTGTAGATCTCCCATTGAAGGTACACACTAATACTGTACTGTAGATCTCCCATTGAAGGTACACACTAATACTGTACTGTAGATCTCCCATTGAAGGTACACACTAATACTGTACTGTAGATCTCCCATTGAAGGTACACACTAATACTGTACTGTAGATCTCCCATTGAAGGTACACACTAATACTGTACTGTAGATCTCCCATTGAAGGTACACACTAATACTGTACTGTAGATCTCCCATTGAAGGTACACACTAATACTGTACTGTAGATCTCCCATTGAAGGTACACACTAATACTGTACTGTAGATCTCCCATTGAAGGTACACACTAATACTGTACTGTAGATCTCCCATTGAAGGTACACACTAATACTGTACTGTAGATCTCCCATTGAAGGTACACACTAATACTGTACTGTAGATCTCCCATTGAAGGTACACACTAATACTGTACTGTAGATCTCCCATTGAAGGTACACACTAATACTGTACTGTAGATCTCCCATTGAAGGTACACACTAATACTGTACTGTAGATCTCCCATTGAAGGTACACACTAATACTGTACTGTAGATCTCCCATTGAAGGTACACACTAATACTGTACTGTAGATCTCCCATTGAAGGTACACACTAATACTGTACTGTAGATCTCCCATTGAAGGTACACACTAATACTGTACTGTAGATCTCCCATTGAAGGTACACACTAATACTGTACTGTAGATCTCCCATTGAAGGTACACACTAATACTGTTCTGTAGATCTCCCATTGAAGGTACACACTAATACTGTTCTGTAGATCTCCCATTGAAGGTACACACTAATACTGTTCTGTAGATCTCCCATTGAAGGTACACACTAATACTGTTCTGTAGATCTCCCATTGAAGGTACACACTAATACTGTTCTGTAGATCTCCCATTGAAGGTACACACTAATACTGTTCTGTAGATCTCCCATTGAAGGTACACACTAATACTGTTCTGTAGATCTCCCATTGAAGGTACACACTAATACTGTTCTGTAGATCTCCCATTGAAGGTACACACTAATACTGTTCTGTAGATCTCCCATTGAAGGTACACACTAATACTGTTCTGTAGATCTCCCATTGAAGGTACACACTAATACTGTTCTGTAGATCTCCCATTGAAGGTACACACTAATACTGTTCTGTAGATCTCCCATTGAAGGTACACACTAATACTGTTCTGTAGATCTCCCATTGAAGGTACACACTAATACTGTTCTGTAGATCTCCCATTGAAGGTACACACTAATACTGTTCTGTAGATCTCCCATTGAAGGTACACACTAATACTGTTCTGTAGATCTCCCATTGAAGGTACACACTAATACTGTTCTGTAGATCTCCCATTGAAGGTACACACTAATACTGTTCTGTAGATCTCCCATTGAAGGTACACACTAATACTGTTCTGTAGATCTCCCATTGAAGGTACACACTAATACTGTTCTGTAGATCTCCCATTGAAGGTACACACTAATACTGTTCTGTAGATCTCCCATTGAAGGTACACACTAATACTGTTCTGTAGATCTCCCATTGAAGGTACACACTAATACTGTTCTGTAGATCTCCCATTGAAGGTACACACTAATACTGTTCTGTAGATCTCCCATTGAAGGTACACACTAATACTGTTCTGTAGATCTCCCATTGAAGGTACACACTAATACTGTTCTGTAGATCTCCCATTGAAGGTACACACTAATACTGTTCTGTAGATCTCCCATTGAAGGTACACACTAATACTGTTCTGTAGATCTCCCATTGAAGGTACACACTAATACTGTTCTGTAGATCTCCCATTGAAGGTACACACTAATACTGTTCTGTAGATCTCCCATTGAAGGTACACACTAATACTGTTCTGTAGATCTCCCATTGAAGGTACACACTAATACTGTTCTGTAGATCTCCCATTGAAGGTACACACTAATACTGTTCTGTAGATCTCCCATTGAAGGTACACACTAATACTGTTCTGTAGATCTCCCATTGAAGGTACACACTAATACTGTTCTGTAGATCTCCCATTGAAGGTACACACTAATACTGTTCTGTAGATCTCCCATTGAAGGTACACACTAATACTGTTCTGTAGATCTCCCATTGAAGGTACACACTAATACTGTTCTGTAGATCTCCCATTGAAGGTACACACTAATACTGTTCTGTAGATCTCCCATTGAAGGTACACACTAATACTGTTCTGTAGATCTCCCATTGAAGGTACACACTAATACTGTTCTGTAGATCTCCCATTGAAGGTACACACTAATACTGTTCTGTAGATCTCCCATTGAAGGTACACACTAATACTGTTCTGTAGATCTCCCATTGAAGGTACACACTAATACTGTTCTGTAGATCTCCCATTGAAGGTACACACTAATACTGTTCTGTAGATCTCCCATTGAAGGTACACACTAATACTGTTCTGTAGATCTCCCATTGAAGGTACACACTAATACTGTTCTGTAGATCTCCCATTGAAGGTACACACTAATACTGTTCTGTAGATCTCCCATTGAAGGTACACACTAATACTGTTCTGTAGATCTCCCATTGAAGGTACACACTAATACTGTTCTGTAGATCTCCCATTGAAGGTACACACTAATACTGTTCTGTAGATCTCCCATTGAAGGTACACACTAATACTGTTCTGTAGATCTCCCATTGAAGGTACACACTAATACTGTTCTGTAGATCTCCCATTGAAGGTACACACTAATACTGTTCTGTAGATCTCCCATTGAAGGTACACACTAATACTGTTCTGTAGATCTCCCATTGAAGGTACACACTAATACTGTTCTGTAGATCTCCCATTGAAGGTACACACTAATACTGTTCTGTAGATCTCCCATTGAAGGTACACACTAATACTGTACTGTAGATCTCCCATTGAAGGTACACACTAATACTGTACTGTAGATCTCCCATTGAAGGTACACACTCATACTGTACTGTAGATCTCCCATTGAAGGTACACACTAATACTGTTCTGTAGATCTCCCATTGAAGGTACACACTAATTCTGTTCTGTAGATCTCCCATTGAAGGTACACACTAATACTGTACTGTAGATTTCCCATTGAAGGTACACACTATTTCTGTTCTGTAGATCTAATTATGTGCATTTACTGTACTGTACATGCTTATATTTTCCTGTTTCAAATGAATTACTATAGCTCAATATGGCTTCACACAATATCAACAGAAGGTTGGTCAGTGACAGTGAATGCCTTTATAAAAGATGACTGGTTCGGTTATTAAATCGCGTTACTGACATCATGTTTTAATCTGACTTACTTTGTGTTTTTATACTATTGTAGCTGAATAATTTGGTGATGAATATGATCTTGTTATATGTTTCAGTCAAGCTGTATATATGTGTATGAACATGCCCTGATCTTGTTTTATGTTTCAGTCCTGCTGTATGTGTATGAACATGCCCTGATCTTGTTTTATGTTTCAGTCCAGCTGTATGTGTATGAACATGCCCTGATCTTCCTCCGACCTCAGTCTGGTGCTATAACCATCCTTAACAAGGAAACTCTACAGTCAGTACAGTTTTATGACGGGGTATGTATCTTAATCCCGGCTAAAGAACATCAAAAATGAAACATATTTCTGTATTTTACTGTCTCTTGTATCCTACTGTCTAGTGTAAACTACACTGTGTGATGTTATGGGATGACTGGCGTAGGGCCTCCAGCAGGATGAAGGGTTTCCTTCTGCACTCTCCCGTTAGGGCCAATAAAGGGGCTAGACACATTGGCTGCCCACATTGCACTACGTACTTGGGCCTCTGTATTCCTCACCATTTCTGTAGATATCCTGTGTAAGGCTGTGATCAGGTGAGGTGTCATGTTCCAAGGTCAAAGTTGTGACATCTCAGTGGGGACATGGCACTATAAAGTGGCCCTTGAGTGGGTCCTATCATCACCAGTTGACATTGTCTTCATATAATCATAGCTGCTTCGAAAGTGGAAAACTTCAAACAAAGAAACTAGTTCTGCTCCAGTTTTAATCCTTGTAAGATGCTATAGATCAGTACAATATTTTAATTGTATGGTTCTATATACACTGTTTAACAATAAAATATTGGTAGACCTGTACTGCTTACATGCAGTCAAAGTTAAAAACAACTGTGTTTGAGTTTTGAAATATGGTAACACATTAACAATATATTCTTTTATACTCATAAACATCTTTATATACTTCTAAAATCCTCCTACAATCAGAGATATCTCCTACACTTCAGATATGCTCTCATACACTCCTGAAATCCCCCTACAATCCTACACCTAAGATATACTCTCATACACTTCTGAAATCCTCCTACAATCCTACACCTAAGATATAGCCTCATGTACTTCTGAAATCCCCCTACAATCACATATCCTTTCTTCAACTTAGATATACTCTCATACACTTCTGAAATCCCCTCACAATCCTACACCTAAGATTTAGCCTCATACACTTCTGAAAGCCCTCTACAATCACATATCCTTTCTACACCTTAGATTATACCCTTATACACTTCTGAAATCCTCCTACAATCACAGATCCCTTCTTTACCTTAGATATACCTGCATACACATCTGAAATCCTCCTACAATCACAGATCCCTTCTTCACCTTAGATATACCCTTATACACTTCTGAAATCCTCCTACAATCTCATATCCTTTCTACACCTTAGATAGACCCTCATATACCTCTGAAATCCTCCTACAATCACCGATCCCTTCTTCACCTTAGATATACCCTCATACACCTCTGAAATCCTCCTACAATCACAGATCCCTTCTTCACCTTAGATATACCCTTATACACTTCTGAAATCCTCCTACAATCACAGATCCCTTCTTCACCTTAGATATACCCTTATACACTTCTGAAATCCTCCTACAATCACAGATCCCTTCTTAACCTTAGATAGACCCTCATATACCTCTGAAATCCTCCTACAAACACAGATCCCTTCTTCACCTTAGATAGACCCTCATATACCTCTGAAATCCTCCTACAATCACCGATCCCTTCTTCACCTTAGATATACCCTCATACACCTCTGAAATCCTCCTTCAATCACAGATCCCTTCTTCACCTTAGATATACCCTTATACACTTCTGAAATCCTCCTACAATCACAGATCCCTTCTTCACCTTAGATATACCCTTATACACTTCTGAAATCCTCCTACAATCACAGATCCCTTCTTTACCTTAGATAGACCCTCATACACCTCTGAAATCCTCCTACAAACACAGATCCCTTCTTCACCTAAGATAGACCCTCATACACCTCTGAAATCCCCCTACAATCACTGATCCCTTCTTCACCTTAGATAGACCCTCATACACCTCTGAAATCCTCCTACAAACACAGATCCCTTCTTCACCTAAGATAGACCCTCATACACCTCTGAAATCCCCCTACAATCACCGATCCCTTCTTCACCTTAGATAGACCCTCATACACCTCTGAAATCCTCCTACAAACACAGATCCCTTCTTCACCTAAGATAGACCCTCATACACCTCTGAAATCCTCCTACAATCACCTATCCCTTCTTCACCTTAGATAGACCCTCATACACCTCTGAAATCTTTCTACAAACACAGACCCCTTCTACACCTTAGATAGACCCTCATACACGTCTGAAATTCTCCTACAATCACCGATCCCTTCTTCACCTTAGATAGACACTCATACACCTCTGAAATCCTCCTACAATCACAGATCCCTTCTTCACCTTAGATAGACCCTCATACATCTCTGAAATCCTCCTACAATCACTGATCCCTTCTTCACCTTAGATAGACCCTCATACACGTCTGAAATTCTCCTACAATCACCGATCCCTTCTTCACCTTAGATAGACCCTCATACCCGTCTGAAATCTTTCTACAAACACAGATCCCTTCTACACCTTATATATACCCTCATACACCTCTGAAATCTTTCTACAAACACAGATCCCTTCTACACCTTAGATAGACCCTCATACACCTCTGAAATCTTTCTACAAACACAGATCCCTTCTACACCTTAGATAGACCCTCTTACACGTCTGAAATCTTTCTACAAACACAGATCCCTTCTTCACCTTAGATAGACCCTCATACCCGTCTGAAATCTTTCTACAAACACAGATCCCTTCTTCACCTTAGATATACCCTCATACACCTCTGAAATCTTTCTACAAACACAGATCCCTTCTTCACCTTAGATAGACCCTCATACACTTCTGAAATCCTCCTACAATCACAGATCCCTTCTTCACCTTAGATAGAGCCTCATACACCTCTGAAATCCTCCTACAAACACAGATCCCTTCTTTACCTTAGATAGACCCTCATACACCTCTGAAATCCTCCTACAATCACAGATCCCTTCTTCACCTTAGATAGACCCTCATACACTTCTAGACATCTTCCTTTACTCCATGACATTCCTTACGGTAACTCCTACACTCTAAGAAATCCTACATTCCTAGACATCCGCATTAACTGTTCATTCTGTTTTATAACACTGTTAGCCACTTAATAAAGCATTCCCAGTCTCCTCCCTATTATCCCTATCCTCAATTAGTTGGGGGACTTGTATATGATTTGAAAAGCCAGACATCCGTTAATATTCAGACTAATGACCTGTGTGTACTTACCTGTTGGTCGTCTGAGAAGATGATTAGGGTGATTTATCAGATTTACTCAGTTGGTATTTGATGATTTGTGTGGCGACAGTGTAAGTCAGAGAAATCAGCTGATTGTTACTGGAAATCATGGTGGAAAATCTATCCCCGGACTTGTAGAAACAAATTCAAAATTTTGTTGGCTTTTTTTTCTTATAAGTTTTCCACCTTTGGATGAAAGTCTCAATAAAAATAATCAATCATAAATTGTTTCTGGTACCAGCTAACTTTGCTGTGTCCTTTCAAGAATTTTTTCTATGGCACAGAAGGCAATTTGTGGCGCTTGTATAATACTGTACAATGTCTGGGATGGTATGCCAAGCAAAAACTGGCATAATGATAGCCTGGCTGTCAGTCTGAGGTGTAATCTTCACTTCAAGAAGCAGGACAAACAGCAATACATTGACTGATTCTGATGGAGAGATAACAATTGTACCCTGGTAGTCATCCAACAGCTTTTGTAAGGCCTTACTGTAAACCAAGTACGGCTATGAATTTTGAAAAACAAATATTTTGATACTTTAGAAGATGTTAAAATGCCTTTCATACTTATGAAGTTAACGATTCGCTCACGTAAAACTATATATTTACTTCACAGACTAATGTGCATACTGCTGTCAATACACCCTCAGACTTTTCTATTATAAACATTCAGCTTTGAATGGGTGGTGGTAGGGAATGGTTGTCAGTATAGGATGTCATTGGGTGGTGGTAGGGAATGGTTGTCGGTATAGGATGTCATTGAGTGGTGGTAAGGAATGGTTGTCGGTATAGGATGTCATTGGGTGGTGGTAGGGAATGGTTGTCAGTATATGATGTCATTGAGTGGTGGTAGGGAATGGTTGTCAGTATAGGATGTCAATGGGTGGTGGTAGGGAATGGTTGTCAGTATATGATGTCATTGGGTGGTGGTAGGGAATGGTTGTCAGTATAGGATGTCATTGAGTGGTGGTAGGGAATGGTTGTCAGTATAGGATGTCATTGGGTGGTGGTAGGGAATGGTTGTAAGTATAGGATGTCAATGGGTGGTGGTAGGGAATGGTTGTCAGTATATGATGTCATTGAGTGGTGGTAGGGAATGGTTGTCAGTATATGATGTCAATGGGTGGTGGTAGGGAATGGTTGTCAGTATATGATGTCATTGGGTGGTGGTAGGGAATGATTGTCAGTATAGGATGTCATTGAGTGGCGGTAGGGAATGGTTGTCAGTATAGGATGTCAATGGGTGGTGGTAGGTAATCGTTGTCAGTATAGGATGTCATTGAGTGGTGGTAGGGAAGTCATTGGGTGGTGGTAGGGAATGGTTATAGGATGTCATTGGGTGGAGTGTCGTGCTGTTCATCCAGGTTAGGACATACAGTTAGATAACACTAATTAAAATGGCCCGGGATTGGCCACATCATCCTTGAACACCACCTTCATATGACCTTGGCTGTCAGGAGGATTTAAAATGCCAAACAAACAGTCATAGACTAGACTTGAACACTAATTGTTACGCTGCAAACAGATGTCAATAATCAATAACATTTTATTTACAAATATGCAGTACATAATATATAATTTTACATAAAGTTATATTAGGGATCTGGCAACAAGAGTAGGCTCTTATATTAAGCCATCTCCCAAAATTGCTATTTGCTAATGGCTGTTATGCAATATCACTTTTTATAAGTAATGGATACAATAAGATTGTGTTTTGTGTGTCTATCAACACTGTACCTGGTGTAGAAGTATGTTTTGTAGTGTTGGATAGTATCATATCTTTCTAGGTCACTGTGACCCATTTTTCTTCCATGATGGCAAATCAGAAGACCTTAGCTTGTCTGTGAAAATTGAAATTACTGCCACTTGATAAGAGCTCAGAATTGCTGCCTTGTGAGGTCAGGCAGCTGAATATAATTTAAAAAAAATCTACAATCTCCTACTTATTAATGTTAATATAACATATAAATATGAATGGTCTTGGTTGAATTTGTTTTAATTATAAATATGGAATGTTATGATATGCCAATAAATTTGTCCTCTAACTCACATCTGACCGGGTAGTTATCACAGTGTTACAGTCAAAACGTAACATGTTAGTGTAAAGGTGGCAATGTCTGTAATCCTGTTACTACTGGAAAAGTGTTTCTGTGCAGTAAAAGACTTTCAGGGCAGTAACCAAGAAGGATCTGTAGCCAATCATCATGAAGATGACATATTTGTTTATTGTCCAATATCCCAATGGTTTAATTCCAGGCTTACAGTTGAAGGGACATACATATGATGTACTATCACCTGGAGGTTGTTTATCGTTGAGGGAATTATCAGTTGTTTTATAGACACAGGGTGTCAGTTCATTTTTGTCAATGAGACCATGTAATACAATTAGGTGACTGAGGAGGCCCTTTAGACTAACATAAAAGGAACGGCTTCCTTATCTGTCAGGAAATATCACATTTCACTTATCTGCTACATTTTTTTTTATTTCACTGAGAGTTGTCAGGTTTTTTTCTTTCTTGTCATACTTAAGTTCCACTTAAGTTTCACAGAAAATCATAGAAGTTTACCGTAATTGTGGACAAAGTCAACAATACATGCAGTTTCACTTGACTGCATTTAGCACAAAAACAACAATATGCAAATTAGTCAAAACTGTCTAACATTAGGTCTAAGGGCGAGGTTATACTGGTATACAGTATATATAGATGAGGTCTGGTTTATACTGGTATACAGTATATATAGATGAGGTCTGGTTTATACTGGTATACAGTATATATAGATGAGGTCTGGTTTATACTGGTATACAGTATATATAGATGAGGTCTGGTTTATACTGGTATACAGTATATATAGATGAGGTCTGGTTTATACTGGTATACAGTATATATAGATGAGGTCTGGTTTATACTGGTATACAGTATATATAGATGAGGTCTGGTTTATACTGGTATACAGTATATATAGATGAGGTCTGGTTTATACTGGTATACAGTATATATAGATGAGGTCTGGTTTATACTGGTATACAGTATATATAGATGAGGTCTGGTTTATACTGGTATACAGTATATATAGATGAGGTCTGGTTTATACTGGTATACAGTATATATAGATGAGGTCTGGTTTATACTGGTATACAGTATATATAGATGAGGTCTGGTTTATACTGGTATACAGTATATATAGATGAGGTCTGGTTTATACTGGTATACAGTATATATAGATGAGGTCTGGTTTATACTGGTATACAGTATATATAGATGAGGTCTGGTTTATACTGGTATACAGTATATATAGATGAGGTCTGGTTTATACTGGTATACAGTTTACATCAATGAGGTCTGGTTTATACTGGTATACAATATATATAGTTGAGGTCTGGTTAATACTGGTATACAGTATATATAGATGAGGTCTGGTTTATACTGGTATGCAGTATACATATATGAAGTCTGGTTTATACTGGTATATAGTATATATAGATAAGGCCTGGTTTATACTGGTATACAGTATATATAGATGAAGTCTGGTTTATACTGGTATACAGTTTATATAGATGAGGTCTGGTTTATACTGGTATACAGTTTACATAGATGAAGTCTGGTTTATACTGGTTTACAGTATATATAGATGAAGTCTGGTTTATACTGGTATATAGTATATATAGATAAGGCCTGGTTTATACTGGTATACAGTATATATAGATGAGGCCTGGTTTATACTGGTATACAGTATATATAGATGAGGTCTGGTTTATACTGGTATGCAGTATACATAGTTGAAGTCTGGTTTATACTGGTATACAGTATATATAGATGAGGTCTGGTTTATACTGGTATACAGTATATATAGATGAGGCTTGGTTTATACTGGTATACAGTTTACATAGATGAAGTCTGGTTTATACTGGTATATAGTATATATAGATGAGGCCTGGTTTATACTGGTATACAGTTTATATAGATGAGGCCTGGTTTATACTGGTATACAGTATATATAGATTAGGTCTGGTTTATACTGGTATACAGTATATATAGATGAGGTCTGGTTTATACTGGTATACAGTTTACATAGATGAGGCCTGGTTTATACTGGTATACAGTATCCATAGATGAAGTCTGGTTTATACTTATACACAATAGGTGTATTAACAAGATCCATTTATCTGTATACTGGTGGAGAGGATTTCAGTGAGACAGGTTAAGCCAGTACCTTAGCATTTTGTACTTAAATATTTTATTGCGGTAAAAACACACTTTGACAGGACTCTTTCCCTGATGACTTGGCCTGCATGCTGTAATCAGGTTTTATTTGGAGAACAATTTCACATGGTACTCCAATAGAACAATTAATTTGATATAAGACTCGAGTCGTAGGACACTCTGAGAAACATCATGCCAAATTTTACTTTCATAAAATGAGGGGACATATAGTTGTTGCCCATGTCCGTCCCGTCCCGTCAACCATCAAACACTGAAACTAATTTCACATGGTGACTTGGGCATTCTTGTATTACAGACATTTTCTAGTTATTTGACATTTATCATTTGGCCAAAATTTCTTAAGTTATCAATAGGCCTCAAAACATTAAAAACAGGACACACCTGAATGTTTCTAAGAGCTGTCAAAAGGATGCTTCCTATCATCAGCTAGATGTTTATCATTGTAGAATTTAGTTTGTTGTTAATATGGTCAAAAGATACAGTCAATAAAGGCCGGTATAAAAAATGTACAGGGGATTTTGGAACTATTATTAAAAATGTAATATGATATAATTTGGTGTTTGGGAGAAAACAAAACATTCATTATCAATTAACATTTGGTTTGAAGAAATTGGAAACAATTAATAGATAAAAAATTGGCACTTTGAAAAGACAAGGGTGATTGATGCAATAAGGAAGAAGCTAGTCTCTCTTGGCCCTTCATTACACTAAACCTCATCAATTCCTTCCAGTTTAATTTAATCAATTAATGTGAATTTCACCTCTGAGATTTGAGCATCTTGTTGAAAAATGTTGAAATGAGGATAGAATGAGAGGAAGCTGCAGTACCCTAAATAAGGGCTTGGAGTGGCCCCAGGGAGGGGCTATCAATAGCCTGGTGGTGCAGCTGAAGGGAATCACAATAAACACAACAGCCGTTCTCTGTGACAAATACTTCTATCATCCGTATAAAACTACACAGAGGACACCTTACGTTAGTCTGAGTAGAAACAATGACATTTTGGTGCAATCCTTCTGGTACTCTTACACTAAAGGACATCTTACCATGTCGGCATCTCTCTCATTATTTCATTGCACAAATTATGAATATTGTACAATAAAATCCTTTTAAATGAAGATCAAGATATGGTTTACTAACATAGTTTCCAGAAATTGTCATTTTGTCAAAACTATATGCATGGTAAAATTGAGATTATATTAAATTTTCAGGGAACTGGCAGTGTTATAGCAGTGCTGTTCCTGGTTGTCAAGGAAACAGCCAAGTTGAAACTTCCAACTTTTTTGACCTCCGTGAACAATCATATTTACTTCAGTTTCATGCCAAAGTCAAAGGCCTACAAACATATGTTCTCAGAGGTAAGTCTTTAAGATTGTAACATTTCATAACTGAAACGTTTTACTGTATTATTAGTTTCTATGACAGTTGTAAGACTTGAAGGTCAGTATGGGATACAGTCTGGGGAGTAATAACTGGCCTTGCTGTGCTGTACGTGTCTGATCTATAGTGTAAGTAGGTGTTAACGACAGGACAGATTGATCTTCACTTTTAATGGCCTGTGTTATGTTCATCATAAAAAGTTGAAAAGACATATTTTTGCTGATGATTATAACATCTTATGTCATAAATAATATGTAACGTACTTAGCTGTAGTAAATAATTCTGTGTTCAATGTTTTGCCTATAACTTTAGGTTTTGCCGACGTGGAAAATGGAATCTAGTCTGCCCACTGTCGTAAGGTGTGACTCATTACCCGAAGAATACAGCGACACGTAAGTGATGCTCTCCTGTGTAGGGAGATTATAAAATGATGCTGAACAGCAGTTTATTGGGTAGTTTTAGGGCATTGTTACAGCACCATGTATGGGGAATACTTGTCAGAACCCCTGCTATACTTCTGAGACCACAGTTGGTGACAACATCACTGTTACAAAACATTTAATGTAACGCCAGTCAGCACTTGATGGTATCTTTCAATTTTGTCTTGAAAGTAAATCTGATGCATGATTTGTACAATATTATGTACTTAATGGTTGGGGATAGAATTATATAAATTGAGGCAATAAAAACTACAACAATGAAAACATTTTTGTGTTACGGAAATTAATAGCATCTTTTACAGCAACTTTCTGATGTAAAGTTAAAAAATATTGTCTCTTTCTTTAAAGAACAGTGGCGACTTCTCGACCGTATCTCTCCAACAGCTCTTTGTTTTATTTCCCGTACATACATTTAATGTTCTATTTGTTGCAGACTATCAATAATTCTATCAACAATTGCCAAGAGATAAGCAGCAGCATTATAATTATTTTAAGATTCTATTTAGACATCCAGCACAAATTGCCTCAATGTCAGGAAGTCAAACTCGCATCTACTAGCCCACAGAGTTTCTAGTCTCTGTTCAACATGCCTAGACATTGTGGCCAACCAGGGCTGGTATTTTATTTGATAATGATGAGTTATTTGTGTTCCATAATCTAATTTGAAATCTCAAGTTGTTCAAGTAAAACAAATTTTCATTGAGGCTTTGTTTCACTTGCTTAACAAGATATTTTTTTCAAAATTAAATGTTACAAAGTGATTGTTGATGTTTCGGTTGTTTAAGTGTTTTGTTTTACCCTAACTGGTGGCCTCAGGGGTAGGACATGGTGGTGTGTGTAATTAAATGTTCATCCTGTGATCTGACTTTGGCTATCGGTTACGTTGTATACTGACTTTGGCTATCTGTTACGTTGTATACTGACTTTGGCTATCTGTTATGTTGTATACTGACTTGGGCTATCTGTTATGTTGTATACTGACTTTGGCTATCTGTTA